AAGTAATGACAGATAAATGCAGATAAATCAGTATTCTTAGAAATCTGAACTGCTAATCAATAGAAGATGTTACTCCAGAATACTGACCATAGGCAACAGCAATGAGTAAAGCAATATCTTTATCACAATGGACTTTTGGAAGGTCTGTACTAATTCCAGAATAGCACAGCAGCAAAGAAAGGTGTGCTTTTACCATGCTTAATGCAGCACCTACAGCTACACACTTGGTGTGTGTTTCCATTCTTTCTACTGCACTTTTAATCATTTATGGAAAGCACTTAGGAGTATATCCTTGATCTAAACAAGCAGATATTAATGCATGTGTATGTTTATATTGAAGTGTTTATATATAGTTACTACATGCAGTCAGGAAAACTGCAATTTCATGTTTTATGTTAACGAAATGGTCTTTTATCTCCAAATCACAATATTTGAGGTGTGCTGGGAGCATGATGAGCAAAAGACTCCCTGAATGCTGCTGCAAAGCTGGTTGGACATCCTACCTTGGTTTCAGTCCAGTTCTGAACAGAGGCTTGTCCACTCACGTTCAGTCACTTGGCTAACAGGAACTCTTTAATTTCCTTACAGGGCCCCTTAGTAAAAGTTTAGACACAAACTCCACCTTTGAGTTTGGAGTCTGCCTCCATTGTTAAAACAATGCCTCCTCCCCTTCTGCTAACAATCAACAATTGTTTAACACTTCTGTAGCACTTCTTTACCATGATAACAACAGCAACTTTCTGAGATGTCATTTAACATATATGGCTGAATAATTGAATAATTGATCAAAAGTAGTAGATAAATATTAAAATTATGTTTAACTGCAGCACTAACATCAAGCAAAGTAATACAAGACTCAGCATATCACAAATGAACATTGTGTAGCTGAGAAAGGAAAAAATTAGAATGTAGTACTCCAGGAAATAGAAAAGTTACACTTCCTTATCATAAAAAGCTTTAATAACCTTGTTAACAATTACTTTGAGCAGTTCATGTGAGAATGTCTAAGATTAAAAAGCAGTAGTGAGCTTAAAGCTGTGTAAAAAGTCTTATCAAAAGCTGTTATCAATTTAATCATTTAAACAAAGTAGCAAATGTTACCATTTTATAAACTGGAATTCCAAAGAGATTTCTCTAAGAAGACCATCTATATGCTATAACTTTAGACATGATGTATTTTATTATTATAATAGTCAGATGGCAAATTCTGTCTCTTTTCTCAAGATAATACACTTAAAGATGGCTGTCCTGTGGAGAGTACAGTATTTGGAATGTATGCAATAAATTTCAAGACCCTTCAGGAACAAGATATTGTCTCAATTGGAATGGCTGGGAAGATTCACATTGACTCTGCTGTGCATAGGGCTGTACTTTTAACCCAGGCTAAATTTAATGATATTCCCATAAATCACCAAGTCCAGGCATTGTAGCTCAGCTCACACAGGCAGATCCTCAGCTCCAGAGCTCTGATTAAGTCAACAGGGCTAGACATCAGTACTGATCTTGTGTGATTGGATTACAGGATTGGAGCTGTGATTTCTCCTACTGAAACCACTCTAAGGTACTTAAATAGATAAATCCTACTATCAGATTCCTTTTCTTGTTGATTACACTTTCTGAAATGTAAAAAAAAAGAAGAAAACAAAATGACCACAAAAACAAAAAAAACCCAACCTTGCTTTCTCCATGTAGCATTGTGATAAGATGCATGTAGGGCTGGAAGGACAACAGAAATACCTCTAGGGGAATAATAGTAAAAGTGTGATTTTCCTTTTCCACAAAAAGTTTGTAAAATATTTGTGCTTTTTTTATTTTCTCTGAGCCCATATCCACTTAATCCCACCCTCCCCATGTGATCTGAACTACTTAACAATTTCTGTTATAAAGGAAAATCGTGTCTAGGTTGTTTCCTGTCTCACGTTTTAATTCATACCTTCTCATCCCATGTTTCTGGCAAAATAACCTATTGAATTAAACCACTAATATGTTCAAAACACTTTTTTTTAATTAGTTGGTCTTTCTGTTTTTTTCTCCATGAGTTTATTCCTTGCCTCTCAGGTTTGTATGTTAGGTTGAGAGGAGTCACCTTGTGTATCTCATTATCTTACCAAGGCTGGAATATCTGCTAGGAGGCAGAAGAGCCCTCCCAGGCAAATCACTTGCGGATTTAACAAACACATGTGAGTAACAAAGATTGACCAGAAATACTGTCACTTATAAAAACATTCTTTTATACTGTTAACTATAGTTAACAATAGCCATATATAAAAGGGACAGTGCTGTTTCAATAGAGTCCTTCAAAAAAACCACTTCCTTTGTGATGAAAGAGAAATGCTCAAATATCCATTCAGGAATACCTACAATTCCTAATGAAAATATATTAGAATCAACTGTAAATTGAGCAAGTAGCAAAAAAAGCTTGATGAACTCACTGTAACAAAATATCCAGTGATGAAAAGCTTTGCAGACTTCTGCTTGCCAGCACTGGCAAGGATGTAGTTTAGCTAAATAGAAGGAAAGCAGAAGATACAGCTATCAACTGCAAACGAATGATTATAAACTAGAAAGAAAATGTGAGGAAGAGCTCTGAAAATTATGATTGACAGTGACAACACAGACCAGACAGCTTTTATTTTAAGCAACAGATTGTTTGGAACATACACCGTATATCAAAGTGAAGGACTTGAAACCTGCTGTAGTCTGTACAGATGTTCTCACTCAGAAAGCAGCTAGAGGGAACAGAAGATAAAAGAAGGCTGTCCAACTTCAAAAAAGGTTTGAATTTTCATTCTGTTTTGACAAGTTTCTATGCTAGTCTCTGATTTTCAATGTGGTAGAAAATTCAGCATCTACAAACCTGACCTAAAGTAAGAAACACCTGAAGGGGTACAAACAAACCCTTAAGAAGGTGCTATACCACATCATGAAGTATTTTTTGTTGTTTTCATCTTAAATGCTTTTATATTGAAGAAGACAAAAATTGGAAATGCTGTAAGTGTTGTAGCTCTGGAGCAGGTCATACGTGCTTGCAGTCAGCATGCAGTACCTGGAATGCAAGGCTGGGATCTGAGGGGCCATTTAGGAATCCCTGCTGCAGAAAAGATTTTTTCTTTATGATACAAAGCAAGACAGGATTACTGAGCTCAGAAGGGTTATTTGTGAATAACTTCCAGCTAAAGTGATTAAGGGCTTCAGCCACTAGCCCCAGAAAAAAACCAACAGAGAGCATCAAAAACATCCTGCTTGTCATTGCTGCTGGCTTTTTGTTCAATGAGCAAGAGGTCTGTGTTGGTTTTGGTCCTTTGCCCTTGGGGGCACTTTTAACAAAACATAATACTTGAAAGAATCCAAAATGTGTTTGTTTTTTTTTTTTCTTTTCTTTGAACTAGGAGGTTAAAGATAAATAAAGGAGTATTTTGATATGTCTAAAAAATACTTGTGATAACAAATAGACAAAGCACTTCCTAACGTTTAAGACTTAGAAGTGCACTTTACAAACATGCCACAGTTCTTGATAACAAAAACCCCATCCAATACTTTTTTTTAATGTAAGGTAAAGCACTCCATCCTGTTTTAAAAAATCAGCTCTCTAAGAAATGTGACTATCTTTAGCAGAATCTTTGGTACTTGTGTTTGGTTTAAGGTTTTGGGGTTTTTAAATTTTAAGCTGCTATAATATCTGCCAGAAAAAGCAAGAGCCAAGAAACGTACTGAAGAGATAAATGTTGTGATGAGTGTAAATTGGTAAGAAGTTCCTCTGGCAGTCTCAGATTTGGGCTTTCTTTCTTTCTTTCCAGATTTCTCAGGAAATTTGGGCTGCTGTCCAGATGAGTTGCTCTTACAGAATTTTACAGTATGAGATGAACAAAGAGACTACCACAAAGTCATAGGCCACCAATTTAAATCCGACCTCAAAGCATTTCACATCCTAATAGGAAGAGATTTGGATATGCAGAGTAGCATGTCTATTTCTGAGTTTATTTGCAAAAGTATTCAGAGTTCCTTAACACTGCCCATTGCAGGTATCATGCCCAATTCTATAAATGTATGTAAAACAACTGATAAACCATCTGAAAGTGATGACAACATGAGTAATTAAGGCTGTATCACACCACTGTCACAGTGAGTGGCTGGAACATCATGGACAAAGGTTACAGTTTCCTGTTTCAGGATCTGCCATACAAATTCCAAAAGCCATGAGGAACCTACAGTGATGTGCAGGGAGCACTGATAGCACTTTCTTAGCCATGGAGGTCTAACCACATGCCAAAACTTTACAGAACTTTATTAGATTTATTATATTCGTTTTTTTCCTCTTTCCTTTTTTTCTGTTTAAATGCTTGTTTTGAGGGACAATATAATCTCATAATAACAATAACATTCTTCCTCAAAACTACTACTTGTGGCAGCAAGGGATCCCCAGACCAAACAAAAACTAAGTTTTTTGAGTCTAGAATCAAAAGGTCACCTGATAGCAGCTTTCAGAAGAGAGATCTCTGAAGGGTGAGTGGCTCCTGCTTAAATGTTTTTTAATGTTCAACATTTAGCAGAGGATACATGTTTATTCTGCTCCTTTAATGGGAATATTTTATTCAACAGAAACAAAAGCTCTGGAGTATCTGTTAATATCATGGTGATTTTAGCTGTGCAGAGAAATACCCAGCAATTCTTGTCCTGGATGATGCCAGAGACTTGCTATGGCCATTACATCTATTTACCATGGTTTGCTTTCCCCCTTAAAATGAAGCTATGCTGTAAGATTGGAGCTAATGAAACTAGCCTTGAGTTCACATACAGGATTTTCAAGGTCAAGTGCAAGCATTGAGCCCTTTTATCCTCACAGAGGTTTTAAATTTGTTTGGTTTCTGTAAACACACATCTCTCAAATTGCACCTCTGGAAAAGCCATTCCCTGTCTGACTTCACATTGTCAGAAACACAGTCTCTTCAAGTACAATTTATACAGTGGAAAATCGGAATGAGAAGCACCAAAACTACCTCTTGTCTTTTAAAAAAGATTTTTATTTCTGTTTTTAAATAGCTTGACAAAACCCATCCATTGGTACTCTGAGTTCAAATGTAAACAGTTACAATACATTACTGCTGTGTATTGATTTTGTACATTAACCTATCTGCAGTGACAATCCGTAAGACAAGGCAAACTGAAATGCACTGAACTAAGATGTACTAACAATGCCATAACTGAAAATACTCCAAAGACTGATGTGTAACTCCCTCCTGTGGTGTGAGTGAGCAGCTTCGTCCTCAACAGCTTCCGGCAGCTTGGGGAGCACTGCTGATATTCCAAAGTCTCTGTTCAGGTTTCAAGTCTGCTCTGGAAACTTCTCTCCCAAGTTAAAAGTGTCACAATACATTTTTAAAATACATACAAAGTTGTAAACATCTTTCTCTGGAACAAAAAAATAAATGGTTTGTGCCAGCCTTCTCCACCTCCCACGTTGCTATAAAAAATAATAATTAAAAAAACAATAGGGCCAAAGACCAAGGCCATACACTAAAATTGTTCTGCAGGGATGTAATCACAGTTTACAGGAAGTATTGAGTATCAGCATTGAAAATTAGTCACCATCAGATAGCAGAACCCATTTTCAAGAAATGGTTTCACTCAACTTCAAGTGATGAATCAGGCACTGAATATTTGATTTCCCTACTTTTAAGAACAAAAGCTTAAATTACATTTGGATATTTTGTTTGATAATAGCTAAAATTGACTGCAAACAGAAAATGAAACACTGATGCTTTTGCAAGTTTGGGGTTTGACCACTTTTGCTGTCAGGTTTATAACGATCTTCCATGAAGAAGGAAGGAATTTCAAAACAGACTATACATATATTGAGATCACACAAATAAAATAGACCTTTTCAAGGCAGATTTTCTTTGTGGAAGTCCCTCTGGTCATTTTCTAAAATGTTTTAGCTTTTATGTTTATTTCACCATTAACAATGAAATAACCTGCAGCAGAGCGTCAGCCTCAGCGAGAAACCCGGCTGGCCGAGGCCAGCGTCACTGGCAGCACAGTGACGCCCCCTGTATCCTCTCAAGGATTGGGGTGCGCCTAGGGCGTGGAGGCCCGGAGTGACGGAGGATTCCGGAGAACGACGAAGACTGCAACCCGCAGGAAAGACAGGAGGCGTTCTTTCGGGGTGCCAAGGTTCGGTTTAATTCCCAAGGGAGGACCGCCGAAAGACCAAGAAATGTGCCTGACAGCAGGTTATAAGGGATACAAAGCAACCAATCAGGGGGTAGGGGGGGTGTAACAAGATATTAACGGACAAACCTAACAACCAACCACAATAACTCAAGGGAGTGGCCCCGGCCCCTCGTCCAATCACCCCGCAGAATTAAGAGAAACTTCTAGAAAGTAGGAAGAGTGTGCTGGATGACGGACAGGGACTCGGGGAGGAACCTAACCAAACTGGGGAGGAGCGAAGGAGGAGTGAGGGAGATTGACAGGTAACTGATGTCCTGGGACCGGACCAAACATAAAGACAGGGGGGAGCGGGCCAGCGCGATCCCACAATAACCATCTTAGTCTGAATCTTGTATCACTACTTCCAAAAATACTACTATAATGGAGATTTTGGGATGCAGAAGAGGATTAATTTCAAAGTACAATAGAATTTGCTCTTAGCAGTACAGGCTGGTAAAGGATAGCATTATTCTTGCACTTCTGAATTTATTATTCTTGTTTTCACGCTGTCAGGAGATTGATATCTATGACCTTGTAATTTAAGTATGACAGTTAATCATAAATATCAGTACTTTTATAGGCAACATTTGGTTTATTTTAAAGTTCTAGCAAGTGCAGCTCTTCCTTGAGGATTAGAGGCTCTGCAGTCTAAAAAGGGTTCTCCCCCACTCCCAGGTACTGGCTGTGCCTCACAGAAACAAGTGGCAGAACACACTCTGTGCACTCTTAGGGGGAAAAAAAGGTTTTAAAATACTAATGTACTCTTTAATGTACTCTTCAATTTTTTGAAAAGTTACACTAAGTTCTAACCTTAATGTATTTTGTAAGCCCCAGATTCTAGCTGCAATTCTCAGCTGTCAGAGGTACCACATACTCAAATGAAATATTGGATTTTAATTGAAGCAGCTGTTTTGAAGAGAAAAAAAAGCAGAAATGAGTCACATTGACTACATATTGCTCTGTCAGTTATACCACCTGTCATACACCCTAATGAGACTATGGACTCTTACATCTCTACATGGTTTCTGTCAATTTGTTGTGCATAATTAATTACAGGACAATGTTTCTGAGGTGGAACAAAATATCAGCATATGTTTATGCTGAGAAATTATAGGGAGAGAAATATGTGCATGACCAGGCCATAAAAACAAAAGGAGCAACCTGACAATAAGATTATGTATTAGGAGAGTACATACAGGCTTGCTTCTTCCAAAAATTAAATGTGTATACCTATAAGGGGCAAAGGTGGAGAGAAGGAGAAAGGAAGCAAACTTTGGCAAAGTTTAAGAAAGTGCTGTCTTTACAGTCCTAATAATAACTTTAAAAAAAGAGAGAAATAAACCACAAACAAACAGCAAACCACCAAATATCAAACAACAGCAAAACCAAACCCAACACTGAAAAAGCAAAAGGCTAAAAAATGTCTACAGCTGGGACTGTCCCCTGTGCAGGATGATTCAAGACACAATAGCTGAGATTGCACTGGCTAAAAACCACAGGGAGAAGTAACACCACCATCTCTACTGCGTTTTGCACTGCAGGGTCAGAAAGTAAATAAGCATTTGCAAAAGCATCCCAACATCACACTGTGGTAAAACACTTTTTATCTACATGCAGAGCTCTGTGCACACATTTAAAAGTATATTTTCTTTTCATAGCAGTACACCACATAGTACATTTTCACTCAAATGTAACTTGTAGGAAATTCTCTTAATATTGAGTGTTTTCTTATTTATTTTCTAATGGCAGAAGTAAAACTTTGCTATGTAGTGCAGGAAGGATCTGGACACTAATCAATGACATTTTAGATAGCACAAGTTGTTTAGTAGAACCCTGACATTTTGCTTAGAAATAACCTCTTCCTAAAGAAGGATGAGAGACAAAAATACAGAAATATGAAGGCAACTCTTGGTTGAGTATAAAGGTCCCTTACCCCTACTAAGAATGTTATTTTTCTGTACTGTAATAATCATCTGAGACAGCCCTAACACATTAACTCAAGAGAGTTTTCCACACTGGACATAGTGAAGCCATGAAACTCCACACAAACTGGTTCTTGGCCAAGACACCTTCCATCTTTTGAGATGAGTTAATATCAGAACATCTGTAGGAAGAGAACAGTGGCCTAAACCACATAGTGTTAGATTTATCTATAGTTTCAAAGGATGGATGCCATCCTTCAGGTTCCTTATTCTCCCTCCAGACAGGAAAAGCCATTTACACATTGTCTCAGTCAGGGCAGGCAGTTCTGTTAGTGCAAGAACAGTGCTTTCAATCCATGGCCTCCCCAGGCTTAAAGTGCAGTCTGTTACATGAGATTTTAACATACCAAACTATGCTTTATTTGAATTTCAGAAGGAATGTTCAAGTTAAAATTACCTTTTAGGTTTTAAGCAATAAAATTCAAGGCAAGGTACATAAACTATCTTAAAATGGATTAAATCCACTTATTTAAGTATTCTTTGTATCTTATGGTCAATATACATATAATACACAACAAACATCCATCATTTCACTTAGCTGTATTGTATTTAAAGTGATCCTGTAATAAGTGATGAAAGGCCACACATTCAAACAAGACTTTGCTTAAAACAGGACTGTATTAACTGGACTGTGATATGTAACACAATTCAATATTCCAAGATCTCCTCTTCCATAGGCTTGTCATCAATAAGGAGAAAACCCTTGGCACTCTGCTGTACACACATTTAAATTCCAGTTTATTGGTGGTGTCTCTCATGTTTCATGCCCCTCCCCTCTGAAATCACCATGAGAAAAAGGTGCATTAAAAACTGTGGGTTTAGTATTAACTGGACTGTGATATGTAACACAATTCAATATTCCAAGATCTCCTCTTCCATAGGCTTGTCATCAATAAGGAGAAAACCCTTGGCACTCTGCTGTACACACATTTAAATTCCAGTTTATTGGTGGTGTCTCTCATGTTTCATGCCCTCCCCTCTGAATTCACCATGAGAAACTGTGGTTTTATGCCTTTAGCTACTCCTCTTGCCTATTAACCTGACAATCTCACCTACAAGTTATTGTGTAGAACTATGGTTCCCAAAACATGTAGTTCCCAAATGACATACAGCAGAGAATGTTCCAGGCCAAACCAGTCAGCTGTACAAACAAGGTCTCAAGTAACAACTGCAGGTACAGCTGTGCCAATTGATCCTTTGTACAGAAGCCCAAGCACTGAATTTAGGGTGCAGGACTGTGTTCATGCACACCTTAAGGCTCACCATACAGGGAGGGTATGGCTGTACCTGGGGAGCTGCATAGAGATTTAACACGGAATTGCACAACGTTGTCTTCAGCAATCAAGCCAGCTTAAACAGGCTCCAACCCCTCCCAGCCTTCATTCCTCTGCCCTCAGCTCTGCCAAGTGTTTTTTTGGGTCAAGATACAGGCAGACAGCAGCTTAACACTGTAACTCCAAGCCACAGACATTTGGAGGAGTGTCTGTTTCTGGTGTTCTGGGATGCCAGATCCACATCACGTCAGGACTCTTGAGCCTCTGCAACACCATGTGTTAACCTGTGTTAATAGCACTCACTGCAAGGCTGATAAACTACAGCAGTGGAGATGAGAGTGGATGGCTTGACTGAGAGGGAACTGCTGCTGTCAGAATAATTACTTACAATACATAATCCAGTATTATTTTGGGGCTTTCAGTCACTCCATGACAGGTAATTGCACAGTCAAAAGTTAAGCAATCATTTAAATGCACACCAGGGAAAAGTTATTTTCTAAATTAAAGAAGTGGCTTTTCATCTCTTTTAGCATCTGAAAGAAACAATCAGCCAATGGGGATCATGAAAACACAGTGTTATCACTGCACATAAAAAGTAATATATCTTACTGATAATCAGCATCTTATCTTCATAATCAAAGACCTCTCTACACATGTGTGCTAACAGTTCAATAACCACCACACTGGAAACTACTGGCTTTCCAGCTAAGTTCAGTTCAAACTAAATGCAACATCACTTCCTCTCTTTCCAAGATGAAGCAAGACCAGCTGGCAAAAAGGATACCTAGTGTGTGAATCACTGGCATGGATACTTAGTGTGTGAACCACTCTACTCCACGTTAAGTCCTCACTTTCAAGTCAGAGTCAAGGGGAAGCTGAAAATGCATCCTGACCCACAGCAATACCTCCCTCTTTATGTGAGCCTTTGGAGCACATGAAGCTGTTCTACAGCAACGCCCCTGCTGAGAATTTTGGAGTTCAAAGTTTGACCTACTGCAAATGAGTTTCTCCACTGAAGTGCCATCAGGAGCCTGTCCCTCAAAATTCTATTCACCAGCAGCTCTATGGATTCCAGCATTCTTGCCCTGTTCTTTGGCAATCCTCATTATCACAAGCCTATCCCAAAGCCAAAGTCAACAGGCCCAGAAGCTATTGCTGTATTTCAGCAATAACAATCACTCTTTCAAGGAAAAAAATTGTTTTAGAAAGTTGTTTACAGTGTCTATGGTAGCACAATGAAGCTCACAAGGTATTGTTAAATTAGAGCAGTACCATCCTTGGAAAGGAACACTGCTGAGAATTATGCTGTATTGAACACCACCCTCCCAACAGCTTCCAGTTCAAAGTTTTAAGGACTGATACATCAATTGCTGTTGGATTCAGAGCAGGAATTCAATTCTACAACAAACAAGTTTCATTGGAAATGGGTATAAATAGTACTAGCCAGAACACTCCACTAATACAAACTCTATATAAAACAAAGATCTGTGCTAATCAAATTGGGTTCTAGGTTAGTGTTAACAGCAGACCTGCAGAAGTCTCAGAGTCTGAAGATTATGAAGTTCTTTACACACAGATGCAGCTACTCCTTACAAAAAAAAAGTCCCTATTCTTCCATCAGCCTGTTTAACTAGCAGTTATACAACTACAGTTTTTACTTCAGCTAATTCTTACTAAAACCTGAACTGTAACCTTGTCTCTTATTTTCTGCTAATATTAAAAATAGTCGTTATTAAAATCTCAGTACTTTTTTACCTTCACTACTGCATACCAGAGACCTGCTAGTGCAAAAGCTAGCACACAGATTACTAGCTGTATGATGTGAACATTATTAGTCACATACTGTATATTCATAAACATTTGCTCATATCCAAGTGTTTGCTCTGAAGATACAAGGTTTAAGCAACAAAGCAAAAAACAAGGTTTCTGGCTGTTTGAGAGTCCCATAGCAGAGTTGTTCAGAGAGGCAACTGGATTAGAAGAGGAATCAGGAAGTCCACCAAACTCCAATGCTTTAAAAAATACAAACTGCAATTCATTCTCTTTGCTACTGCTCATTTCTAATTCCAGAAACCACAGGTTTTTATTATACTGCAAATTTCCCAGCCAGAATTGTGCAAAACATACAAAGTTGTCTCCTGGGCAGCCTGAGCTGAAGTCTCCAGAAATGCTGCAAGCTTCTTCCAGCCAGCCTGTTACTGAAATGCCACCAATGCAGTGAGAAACCCCATCGAGATTGTCTTTCCCAGAAGAAAAATGCAGATGAAATGAATCCTTCCAAGGAGCAGCTGCACTTGAGTTCATCCCTGCTGATTCACTGAAGCTCAGGGGCATTTCCTTGCCAGCAGAAGACAGAGGTATAGTATTAAAGAGAGAAAAATTCCTGGTGTTATGTAATTCTTGTAAACTGCTACGATGATTTTGAGAACTGTCCAACATGGAATGCACGTGTGTCAGATGAGCTGCTGGCTTGTGATGATCTGGGCCATTGTCACATACTCGTTTCTGGGTAAAATCTTCTTTCTTCATAGTCCTAGAGCACACGAGCAGAGTTTCCTGCTTCACAACAGGCTGGATTTGAAGAAGAGTGTGGCTGACTCTAGTTGCAGCATACAGCAGAAGCAGCACACCAAGTCACACGTCAATGGATCTCAATATGGACCTAAAGAGAAAGAATGCAGGAAGTTATAACACTGATAACCCAGTTTCCTGGTTCCCAGTGTACTGAACCAAAAATAATTAACAATCTTTCACATAAAGAATAACCCAGCTACAGAAAGTAACAGTTGTCCCAACAGCCAAGTCTCCCTGCAGGCTGCTTGAGCACGTCCAGAGGGGTAGGAAGTGTGCCCAAACACCAGCTGCCCTTCTATAGTTTCAGTTTAATCTGCTACAAGCTCTCTTTTGGTGACAGGCATGAAGGTGAGTCAGCAAACCAGCAGCCAGAGATTCGCTGTGTAACAGCAGCGTTCCCTTCACCAACAGGCACACAGGCTGGGGCTGATTAGAGGCTTAACATGAAAGGTTGATATTAAAGTAATCCTCCTGCAATCAGAAGTGCAAGCTGAAATCAGACACACAACACTGGAAATCAGCAAAAGCTTCCCGGAGGGAACTGGTCAGACTGGCTGCCCCAGCAGAGCTAGCGGTGCCAGCTGCAGCACAAAGGACGGGCTGGTGCTCCCGGAGAGCCAACGCTGATAAGGAGCAAAGGCAAGGCTTTTTCAGCTGCCAGGGTTACCAGCTACGTGGACAACTCCTGGCCATCTGGCTCATTATCAAGCTTCAGAATTTTAGGGCAAATCACAAAAACAAAAATAGGGAATGCCACATTTTGACCTCTTCCCATTTCAAATTACCTTTTACAAGCAACAACTCCAAACCAGACTTGTTTTTCAACCCTTGGCCACTGGCCAGATGTCAAAACTTTCATTACAGCTATGTTTAGGAGGAGAAAGAGTGTCTGATCCGTGGCTAGAACAGATGTTTGCAGCAACAGCGCACAACCTGTTTCTGCTGCCAGTTAAGTTAAAAGTAAATCTTATTTCATCACAAAAACAATGAAACTTCAACCCTACAACAGGTCAAAGCTGTGTTAGAGAGTTACACGTTTTGTAGAAACAGGCTCAAAACAGGAGAGACACAAATTAAATCTGAAACATCTTTTTCATGCATTTTCCACTGAAATTTAAAACTGTCTGCATTTTCCTTGCTGCAACTGTTCTTGATTTAAAAAAAAAAAAAAATCAAACTATGAAGGAAATTATTTTCTCTGTTCCTTACAAGGTGTCAGGAGCGTGCTATCAAAGCGCACATATTCGCAATTCATTTTAAGTATTTAAGCCAGCTGTGGCTCAGGAGAGGCCCAGGAGAGCGGCACGTTTGCCGCTAAGGCGCAGAGCAAGCGGCACAGCGGGGCACTCGAGCCGGCCAGGGCAAGGGCAGGGCTGGGGGCTGCACCCGCGCACAGCCCCCGCGACACTGCCCTGGGACACAGCCCCCCGGGCCCGCTCCGCCGTTACTCGGGGCAGCGGCTGCGAACCGCCCCGGCCCGGCCGGTGACACCGGGACACGAGCGCGGCCCGGCCCCGCCGCCCCCGCCCACCTGCAGCCGCACGTTGAGCATCATGGAGGCGACGATGTAGAGGTAGGGGAAGTTGATGCGGAGCTTCCAGGCCAGGTCGAAGAAGATGAGGAGGGTCCTGGTGAGCCCCTTGCAGAACACGCCGTAGGACCTGGCCGCGGCCGACTGGGAGAGCCTGGCAGCGAGCGCGGACAGAGCCGCCGCCATAAACCCGCCCCCGCTCCCGCGGCCGCGCCGCGCCCGGGCGCCGCCGC